TAAATCTACCCTACCGCCTACTGGTGTTGGCCAGAGGGGCCGATGGCGCGATATGGCAGCCTGGCTTCTGTCAGTCTGTCCCAGGGCAGCTGTGGCTACAACTGTAGCTGCCTCCACCTGTGTGTGAGTGTGAGAGTGAATGAATAGTGGCATTGTAAAGCACTATATCAATCCACTCCATTATTATTGTCATTATTAAATTACTTAGGAGTTTAATTTGTCAGCAACTTTCTGCCAGCCCTCGCTCCTTGCTTTTGCAGCCTTGTGTTTTAATTCAACTCTGAAACTCCTGAAATCCCTCACTCAAGGGTTCTTGCTCTGCTGCCGAAAAATACCGAGCCGAGCGCGCTTCGTCGACATTTTCGCCAACCAATCAGAGGGTTGCTGATCAATGTTTCTACTATCGATGCGTAGCCCCTTTTACGACACCCAGTGATCTCACATTACTGCGTCCAGCTGTACTAATCGTCAACAGCAGGTGTGTTCGGAGAACCGGATTAGCGAGCTCACGGTTAGCGCGATGGTTTGGTCTTGGATGTAGTGAGTGACGTACGAAGAACGGACCCCTGCTCAAAAAGCCAGTTTGAGATGATTTGAGCTTTGTTGTGTTATACTGTTGGAAGCAGCGATCAGACATAAATACACCGTGGTCATAAAGGGACATGATCGGAAACAGCACTATACATGATGTAGCCGCTACTGAAAATATCCCCCACACCCTAACAGCAGCACCACCTGTTTGAACTGACTGGACTGGATGGATTCAAGCTTTCATTAAATTACACCAAACTGAGCCAACATCCAAATGTTGTGACACTCCTCAAGACCTGGGGTCCGTTCTTCGTACCTCGCTTACTACATCCAAGATCAAATCATCGCGCTAACTTTGAGCTCGCTATTCCGGTTCTCCAAACACACCTGTTGTTGACGATCAGTACAGCTGGATGAAGTAATGTGAGATCACTGGGTGGCTTAACAGGGGCTACGCATCGATAGTAGAAACATTGATCTGCAACCCTTTGATTGGTCGGCGAAAATGTCGAAGGAGAGCGCTCGGTATTTTTCGGCAGCAGAGCAAGAACTCTTGATTGAGGGATTTCAGGAGTTTGAGAGTTTAATTAAAAGGCAAGGGAACACTGCAAAGGCTGCAAAAGCAAGGAGAGAGGGCTGGCAGGAAGTTGCTGACAAATTAAACTCGTAAGTAATTTAATAATAATAGTAATAATAGAGTGGATTGATATAGCGCTTTTCAAGGCACCCAAAGCGCTTTACAATGCCACTATTCAGTCACTCTCACATTCACACACTGGTGGAGGCAGCTACAGGTGTAGCCACAGCTGCCCTGGGGCAGACTGACAGAGGCGAGGCTGCCATATCGCGCCATCGGCCCCTCTGGCCAACACCAGTAGGCGGTAGGTGAAGTGTCTTGCCCAAGGACACAACGACCAGACTGTCCGAGCCTTCCGGTTACAGGACGAACTGCCAACTCCTTGAGCCACGATCAACCAATTTGAAATTTAACAAAACAAACAAAACATTTATGGAAATATTTGTGGCTGTTTGTTGTTTGTTCTGTTCTACTTGAACACTGAAGTGGCCCTTACATGAGAGGAGGGTTCGGGTTAGCTCATCTAAGCGTGAGACCTGCTGTAGCCATCGGCTTTAAATTTTGACCTGTTGTCCATTCACAGCGGCTCTTCTGTGGTTCACTTACTGTTGCTTTCCCATCAGTTCAAAGGAAAATGCAGACTTACGATTGGCTGTGAAATATTTGTGTTAATTATGTTATTAATTATGTTGTGTTAATATTTGCAGCCGAGAGTGAATGCTTTATATGCTGCACTTTCTGAATCAGGGTAACTCGCTTCTTGGAAAAGCCACAGGAAGGGCAGACGGCGTCCCAGCTAGCCAGCGTGGTGTTCTACTGCATCCAGAGGGACACGCTGTCCTACATGTCGGACTTCCTGAGCCAGCAGCCTCAGACCGTGGGCAGGGCTTTTGGACAGTTCTGGGTTCGTAAAGCTAAAGCAGCTCACGTGCTTCTTTCCATGCAGGCAGCAATGTGCAGGAACAGTTTTGAACTCAACTGCCGTTTATTCTTGTTGCATTGTTGTATCTAAACCCATCAAATCCATCCAACTTTATAACAAGCTAAAAAAAGTGAAGACTTACTTTAATGGCTGTTTCTCCTCAGGAGTGGCTCATCAATGAGAAGCAGCGCCACGTGTTTGGTATGAAGCTTCCTACTGGCTTCCAGCTGATCGGACAAGTGGTTTGTATTCTTACCTCAGCTCGACACTTCCCTCTGCATCAATGCAAACAAGCTGGAGACGAGTGCTCGATTTATTTTATACTCGAGTTTGTCAGCAAATGAGGCCGTACCACGGAGAACCCTGGCTTCTGCATTAAGGCTGTTTGCAGTGAACAATCAAGATGAGTAAATACATTTAAGTTGCAATGTTGTGGCCAGAGGAACAAACAGTAACTCAGTCTCAGAGTCAGTTATCCTGCAGGTTCAAATGAATAAAGTTCAAATTTGGGCTGTTTTGAGATCAGTTTGGCAGTTTTTCAAACATGTAGATTTTATAGGTCATCAGAGAACATTACACACAATCAGACATAATGAACTTCACCTGCACAGTCAGCTGTGTTGAATCTTGGTCAGATAGCACTGAGTGTAGACTGAGGAGTGGGTGAGGTAGGTGAAGCTGAAGCCATCAGAAGCAGGTGATAGTAAGTGTCTGATGTGGAAGAACATGTTCAAACCAAGAGGCACAAGTTGCCTGCCTGCAGTCAATGTATCACCGTGAGTAAAGCGTCTATAACCCTAACCCGAGTTACTGGTTCTGTTAGCTCTATGAGGATGTAACATCCTGGACAGGGAGGAGCGCTGGTTTGAGCGCCGAGTCAAGGAGGCCATTTACATGAAAAAGGGAAAGACCATCTCTGAATGGAGGAGGGGACCAGAGGGTACATCTGTCACCATCTTACATGCTGTGATTGCAGCCATTCCCCAACTCTCTGTGAATGGGACTGATGGACATTGATCAATGGTCATGAGAATTTGTATAATTATGATGAAGGAACTGACCTCCCAGCCCATTGTTCCTCAGTGGGCTGGTTTCAGTCATTATGCAAATGTCCTGTTTCTAAGATTGAAACCTGCAGTCAGCTGAGACTGAAGACGTCACCTGGATGAGACACGAAACGTTTCTCCCACTGAAAACATCCATCCATCCATCTTCATCCGCTTTATCCGAGGCCGGGTCGCGGGGGCAGCAGCCTAAGCAGAG